TACTAAGTAGGAGTAAACTATTGGCCCCCTGTTGTAAGTAAAGGCCAGTCTGCAGTTATCAGCATGTGCATAGCTGATGATGGAGGGGAAAGCAGGCTCCTAAACCATCCTGTGGAATGTGGTCCCAACATATTTAATACTTTTACTAAAGAAATTGCGATAGATGGCATGGCTTTCTACTTCAAAAATGTGGTGGCTTTATAAATCAATTTCCTTCTAATAGTTGATATATAGTGGGGGGAATGTCTGAAAAAGTGTGTCTGAGAGTATCTTATCTGGGCTGCAATCACACTTTATTTCCTTCACAGCCTGCAGAAGAAGGAGGTCGAGATTAACATCAGGCCTTTCTCAGCTTGATGCCAAAGCATTGGTGGGAGGGAATAGTTTATTGCTTCTTCAGCTTCCACTTTCCTACTACGGGATGGTTGATTGGTGTATGTAAGTTCCTCCCTATCCCCCCAGGAATGCTTTTTAATCAAAGCAAACATACTGTGTGTATTCTATGGAGTACAGCATGGAGTGGCACATAAATAACTGGCAATATATCAAGAAGACTACAAAATACAATGCATCCATAATACAAGCAACAGATAAGCCTCTGTATAATACAAGCCTCTGTACTGCTACCAAGGGGCTTTGGCCTAGACATAAATTAGTGGGCCTGGGCTGTTCACGACTGTGTCCGTAAGATGGAATGTCTTTGCAGTTGTATTTGTAAGTATGTTGTACACATGAATAAAAGTAATGCACAGCACCACAGTTTTCTCATATACACACAGTCTCTCATACTTATATGAGGCCAGAAGCCAGATTGCTAGTGGGAAGCTATGTGTTGCTTGTGTAAGGAAAGCCCCCTCCACAGTACCTCATTGCACCAGGGGGACTGGGAAGGATTCTGTTAAGATACAGGCAACAGGGCAGGTTCTAGGCCAGAAGACGTGTGTGAGCTAGCAAGGCATGGGCAACAGGATGTATAAGCAGGATGCGAGCTAAGAGCTTTCCTTATGTATATGCAACAGTAACTGGGCTCCTGCTGCCTCACTTACTTGTGGGGCTTTAGAGGGCTCTGATCTCCTTTGGAGAAGGTGCCATTGCTGGTATCCAGTTCCACAGCAGCGCTGATTGAAGGGAGGCCTCAGGCTGCCAAAAGGGTTCAGGATCCATTGTCAACTCTGCGTTTGAGGTGTGGAGATAACTGTGAAGGATCCTGAGATGATGTGTATGTGGGGTCCCCCAGTGTCAGTCTTGGTGGGTATGGTGTCTTGATTATGGCAACCACAATCTGCAGGTTAGACTAACGTAATGTAAGTTATTCTTGGTAACATCTGATATCTGAGTTTCCAGGACAAGTGAGGGGAACCTCAGGACCAGAGGCAGCAAATGCGGCCTTCCAGGCCTTTCTGTCTGGCTCTTGAAAGTCTCCCAGACCACATTCCTCATTGGTCCTGCTTTGCTCTCCAACAGTGTTTGCCTGGCTGGAATTCTGTCCTTGAACCCGGATAATGTTCTTGCTTGTTTGGATAGAGAAGGATGTGTTGAGTGTATGCAGAAACCAGCCTACTGTACAAAGGTTAAACATTTGCATTCAGCGCTCCACCCACTTTTGCTTCCAGCCCCACCCACCACAGCCTTTGGGACTTTACCCAGAAAAAAGGAGACCCTGAGGCTGAAAGGTTTTCCTACCTTCATTTAGGATCACAGCTGAAATGCCAAAAGATTTCTGTGAGAGTGAATGTGCCCCATAAAGGAAAACAGAACTTGATGAACAGTTCCACCTCCTTCTGAACATGCCACACTACCCTCCATTGCTTACATCTGTTCTGGTTTCTGTTTCCCAAATCAAACAAGTTCATTGGGATGGAAGTCATAGAACTGAGCAGAGTAGCAAGCCTTCTCCCAACTGAAATCAAGTGTCAGCAGGTAGGATGGCATTATACCTTCGCATGCACCAAAAAGGGAATTGGACCATAATAATTTTTACGCGTGGCCTTTCTTCTTGAGTGAGCTCTAAGGCAAAACTGGGGACCTGTTGGGACATAAAATATGGCAAAACATATATAAGAACAAATAAAAGCGCTTACAGAAAAGATGTATGGCACAGCCTGCCAAAATGAAGAACATAGATCACATAATGGATATAAAATGTGTCACATGGTGTAATAAACATCTGCTTGGATATAAATTTCACCAGGTTTGATAGATAAAGCATGCTGAAATTGGTATAGAGCAGGCGTCATGTAACTGATGGCATAATACAATACATTCTGATCCCAACATCCATCACTAAGGGTATGTTTGATAGAAGAAGGCTCAATTCCAGGAAGCCATATTATCTATTGTTGAGATACTTGTTTTGCCTCTGGTTTACAGCCAGAGATAGAAACCGACATTCCAACGCAGCATCATAACGACTGGTTTTGAGATATCTCCATACAGACACCGTGATACACAAAACTACCAGATTTAAGCCAGTGTGCACTGAAAAGGACAGGACATAGGAAGCTGCCTTATACTAAGCCAGACCCTGGGTCCACCTAGCCACATTGACTGGCTGTGGATCACCAAGGTTTCAGGCAGGGGACTATCCTAGCCTTGACTGGAGAAGCCAGGAATTGAACTTGGTATCTTTTGCATGCAAAGCAGATGCTCAGTCAGTGATCCACAGCCTTTTTGTCAATAGATGCTTTCTAGGATCAGGGTCTGGGAGGTGCTTACTGAACTGAGGAACAGGTCTTGACCTGTACAAGGGACATCTGGTTCCCAACGAGTTATTTCAGTCATGCCCTATTGCTACCTCACAACAATACCATATTATAGTTACTGAGTGCTCTGGACATAGGAAGAGGTCACACAATGTGCTAGGAACATAGGAAGCTGCCTTTTACCATGTCAGATCCATTGGTCCATCTAACTCAATATTGTCTGCACTGACCAGCAGTGGCTCTCTAAGGTTTAAGACAAAGGACATTCACAGCCTTATCTGAAGGTGCCAAGAATTAAACCAGGGACTTTTTGCATGCAAAGCGGATCTACAGGTAAGCCTGGGAATGCCCTTTGCCTGAAACCCTGGAGAGTCTGAATGTCACAGGTTTAATTTCTGGTATCTCCAGCTAAAAGGATCAGGCAGCAGGCAGTCAGAAAGACCTCTGTCTGAGAGCTTGGAGAGCTACTGCCAGGTAGAGCAGACAATATTTACTAAGCCAGATGGACAAATAGTTGAAGTGGTCTCATTTGGAAGGAACAGCCTAGCTCCATCTCTGGCTAGCAGACCAGCAGCTTCGGGGAGACTGGACCTTAACCTCCTTGCAAGAATATGCATGTGTGGAATGTTTATCAAAATTCTATTTCCGTGAGGTTTGGGAGGTTTTTTTAATTTAGTGCATTTAAAAGAAAACACACAAGCCGCTCAGCTACAGAGAGATATAGAGGGACATAAATCTAATAAACAGAATAAATAAAATGTTAAGCTCTAGTATAGAAGCCATCAGAGGTTCCTCTGAAATTGCAACCCACTGCCCTGATGGCTTGAGTCCTCCTTCTGAAGGCCAGAAAAACAGGCAGCAGGAGTGACCAGTGAGGAGGCACCACTGGCTTCCTATCAGCAGTGTTGCTGCACATACTGAGAGAAGGGAGGCAGTGGGAAGTCCCTCCACACACACCTGGTAAGCACAGCAATGCCACTGCTGGAAGACCAGGTGTGCAATGACATCCCTGCCTACCAGCCACTGCTGAAAGGCAGTCAAACTGCCTGAGGTTTGAATAGCTCTGGGAAACTTCTGAAGGCCACAAGTACTTCTGGACACTAAACTGAAACTGATCAAGAGTTTGCAGCTCATTCATCACTGTTTAGGGGAAATGCCATACCTCAGGCCTTGCATGCAGAAGGTCCCAGTTTCAGTCCCCAGCATCTCTAGTTAGGGTTGGGGTGGGGGGTGTCTCCTGCCTGAAACCCTGGAGAGCCACTGCCAATCATTGTAGACCACACTGAGCTAGATAGACCAATAGTTTGGTTCAGTATAAGGAAGCTTCCCAAGTTCCTACAGCAAAACATTAAAGCTGAACTAAGGTTGGTTTTTTTTAAATGGAAACGAGGCTCTAGCTTGAAGGGGGAAAAGTTCTGGCAATTCACAACTGCACAAATCAAGTTTGCCCCATTGCTCTTCTGTTCATGCCCCCAGCAGCTTTGAAGAGTTCCTTTGAAGGGACTGGGAGTGAGTCTCAAGACTTAAGAGGAGAGCGATCTATGTGGGGAAAGCAAGTTGACACATGGGGCTGCTTTCAAGGAAGAAAAAAGGATCTGTACAGAATTTTGAAACTCTTTTGAAGTACCCTCAGATAACACTGAAGATGTCAGACCAGGGAAATCGATGCAATCTTGGGTTATTTGTTTAATGGAATCTTAACATCTAAACCAGCAATGGCCACAGTCCAGTACAAAGTTATGTTTCTAGAACCTCACTGAATTCAAAAGACATAAGAATGCCTAATTCTGTGCTAGATTGTGTCCAGTTACTTTGGTGCAAACCTGGCAGTGTTTACATCAGTTAAGGCTCCCCCTCCCCATAGCAAATAGGGATTTCCCTCAGCACCACAGCTAGATAATGGTGAAATTTCCCTCTCCACATCAGCTTTTATACCATCAATTATCATTTTGTAGTAACTGGTAATTATGAAGTTAAATATTGTCTCTTGATGTTATTGTCTCTTAGTTGGAACTAAGACTTCTTGTGGTTACTTTCATTTCCTATGTAGTTAAATAAATTGCACCACAAGTCTCTGTTGGTTTCTCATCCAGACGAAAGTCTAATCCCGTAAAAACTGCCTTGGGAGCTTTTCAGCTCTGTGTGGAACAGCAGGCTACATATAACTACCTCAGGTGGTACTCAATGCTCGTCCTACTCAGAGTAGATCCATTAGCATTAATGGAGATCATAGAACTGTAGAGTTGGAAGTGACCATGAGGGTCATCTAGTCCAACCCCCTGCAATGCGCTAATCTTTTGCCCAACGTGGGGCTCAAACCCACGACCCTCAGATTAAGAGTCTCTTGCTCTACTGACTGAGCTACCCTAGCAGGATAGCAAACTTTGGTTAATTAATTTCAATGGTTCTAATCTGAGTATGATTTAGTTGAAGACTATACCATAAATCTATTTGCATATAGACATTCAGCACATTCACTGTTGACCTTATGCATCTGATGAAGAAGTGTGCTTTTTGCCAAAGAAAGCTCATGCCACAGGGCTTGCTGCTGCTGCTGCAACCAACTAACACAACTACTTTTCTAGAATGTGTTCCTGAATTCTTTCTGGAATGCTTAGAAAAGGGAGGGGGTGCTGCATACAAATGTTTCATGGCTGGAAGCTGCTGACATCTAGAATGAGGTAAGTAAAACTGACACATAAAGACCTGATCAGAGACAAACTCCAGCACTGGGTAAAGCTGGTGTTTGTATGGAGGGAGAGCATTTTCTCTCTCTCTCCGGCATTCACTCATGTGCCTGCCTGGCCTGCAGCTGTGAGCCAAGGTAAAAGAGTATGTCATTCTATATTTCTGCCTGCAAAATGTATCTCTCTGATCTGCCTGTCTAATCTAACAGCATCCCTGAAGCACCACCGCTCTTCTTAATAGCAGTAAACGGTGTTGCAAAACACAAAGTGGTGGAATAGGAGGGCTGTGTCTTTTTTCTTCATGGAACGGTTTAAAGCTATGAAAAACCTCTGTTTCATGTACCTGCGATGAATAAACAGAGTGGCCCTTAGTTCATCCAAGTGAATAGCTTGGAATCATGGAGGATAAGGCTAGGCACGATGGCTATGTTGTGCCTCCATGGTAGGTGGCAGCAATGCTTCTGAATACCAGTTGCTGAAAACTGCAGGAGGGGAGAGTGCTGTTGTGCTCGGGTCCTACTTGAGCTTTTCCCACAGGCGTCAGGTTGGCCACCGTGAGAATAGGATGCGGAACTAGGTGGGCCATTGGCCTGATCCAGCAGGCTCTTCTTGTGTTCTTAAGAAGGGGCAGAGCTCCATCATAGTGACCGTACACCCATGTACAGCCCACGTCTTCAGCGCCTGCATGGGTTGGGTGTCGACCTTCCGATCACAGGAGCGCAGGAACAGCAGAGCACTGGAGCACTGTTCCTCTGGAACAGGTCGTGGTGCCGTGGACTCACAGTTGCTATTGTGAGCACCTCAAAAGCAGCAGAGTAACAGAAACAAAACTGTGGAGGTTTTGTTGCATACCTAATTTCCCCCCCTACTGATTAAACAAATAAAAGAACATAACAAACATGTACGGGAGAGTCAGCTCTCTCATACTGCCATCCTGTCTCTAGACAGATCAAAAGGAAACAGGCACAGTGCTAGGGACAGAAGTCTGGAAGAGTGGTTTCCGCCCCCTCCTTTCTCTGAGACAGAAAGTAAAACAAACATGATCTGGTGATCTTTGCAATGGGAGGGATGAAAATACTGACACATAGATCACATGTTTTGCAAGCAGAGTAGTCCCAGTTTAGTTCCAGTGTCAAAAGGCCTGAAGCAGCAAGCCTGGGAAACAGCCCTTTTGCCAACCCTGCTGGTAAAAGCAGACAATGCTGGGCTTCATGGGCTAATGAAATGACAGCACTGGGCTAGCTGGTCAGACTCAGTATCATGCAGCTCTATGCATTCATATCCTTGGCAGGTTGACTATTAAACCCATGATTCCAAGCTGTTTACTCTGTTGAACTAAGCTGTAAGAATGGGTAAAAGTGGAACAGTATTGCATAGCACACCTGAACATCTAAATAAGTGCTGGGAATTGGCTTGACTACCTGAGGGAGCAGTGGCAGAAGCTAGTGAAAAAACCATAGGAATGTTATCAGCACTTCTAAAATAAACTCATGCCACGTCTTATATAAGCTTATATAGTCGGCTTTTGGAATTGATTTACTTGTTTGATTTATTTTATTGTAATGGGCAGGTCAGCAAATGTATAAATAAATAGTCATGCATTTCATGCTCCCCAAATCTAGTGCAGAGCCTTTGTTCTTGGAACAGCTCCAGCAGAAGTCTGGGATGGGGAATCTGTGGCCTCCAGATGGTGGTGACAGTCCCTGTCAGCATGGCCAATGGTCAGCAATGATGGGAAGTGTTCAACAACATCTAGAGAACCACAGGTTCCCTAACCCTTCTCTAAGTAGAATCAGCCTGGCTCTGTGTGTGGCAGCTATGTTTCTTAAGTGTAGGGGAGTCCTAGAACATGTCATTGACACCCACTCATTGTGGACATGCTGATGTATCACTAGTGGCGTGCTTAGACATTTCCGTGGGATGCAAATAATGCAAAATAGATCCCATTATAATGGCAACTCCTGCCGAGTTGTCTGAGACAAACAACAACAACGGGGAGTCAATTAATTTGGCTAGATAATCACTGTACTGTCTTCACTTATGTCCAGTGAACTGGAAAAGCAGAGATGGCCTTTATGAACTCATGCACTCACTGGTTGGGTTTGTGATAACGGAATGGGAGATTTTTATCTTATTCTCAGACTTTCCATTCCACCCCCACCCTCACCACCGTTTTTGCAGCCTCTCCCTGGTGGTAGATGTGTTAATGCTAGCAAAGTGTGGTGGAGAGACAAAGGGTATGGTTTGTAGTGCTAATGCTTTCCATCCTGATTGACTACAAAGTCATGTTTCCTGCTGAATGACAATATGCTTCCTTCATGCCGATCTCGCTTTGCTGCTCCGGTGTGCTCGGGAGGTAGCGTGTGCTCCACATTCCAATTTGCTGCCACCCTGAAATGCCATTATCTCCACATGAAATGGCAATATAATGATGTGGAAATGTAGAATTCAGGAATACAAATCTGCCATGAGCAGTGAGTGATATTAGAATGATTGAGTTCCATCTTTAGCAGGTTTCCTTTTCACATGCAGTTGCTGGGTCACACAATAACAGGGCTGACTAAAAGGGAACTTAAAGTTCATCTACTCCAGCCCATTTTACTGAGACCCAGTTATAAAAATGCTATAGGTAGCAAGAATAATCTGGGTTTCATTCAGTTGAATATATTTCATTCAGATATATCCGCAGTATAATTTAACAAAACTTGATCACACACTTGGAATTTAAACCCTTTGCTTCCCAGTCTTCTATGTGTGGCCACTCAAGGCTGCCTTGTCCCTCCATGACATCAGTGCAACCAGGCCAATAGCAATATCTCAGTGATGGGCAGGGAACCTGGGGCCCACCAGATGCTCCCAACTCCCAACTCCCACCAGCCCCAGCTAGCATGGCCAATGGTCAGAGATCCTTGGAGCTGCAGTTCATCAGCATAGAGGGGTTAGGGGAGTTAGAAGTATATTAATTTGCTAGCTGAAGTCTGGGCAATGGTTTTTACCAGTAGACAAGGATAGGTATAAAGAACAGCTTCAGGCATTGGGTAGCAGCAGCCAGTGTTTCAAATAGAATGGTTTTCACCAGCTGCAGGTCCAGCTGCCCCTTTCATCATAGTTTCAGTCTCAACAATGTACATTCAGTGGTACCTCGGGTTAAGTACTTAATTCGTTCTGGAGGTCTGTTCTTAACCTGAAACTGTTCTTAACCTGAAGCACCACTTTAGCTAATGGGGCCTGCTGCTGCTGCCGCGCCACCGGAGCATGATTTCTGTACTCATCCTGAAGCAAAGTTCTTAACCTGAAGCATTATTTCTGGGTTAGCGGAGTCTGTAACCTGAAGCGTATGTAACCTGAAGTGTATGTAACCCAAGGTACCACTGTACACTGTTTTTTTTTTTAAAAAAAATGGTCAGTATGATTGAGTCCATAATACTACAAAGTATTTGCACCATGCTCTTGCTAAACATACTCGGAGCACTCATAAACTGCATCCCAATAATTCTTGTCATAATCCTTTAAGATACAGGCCAGCTCTGTTGTCTGCCCATTGCAAGTGGGGTTTGAGGATAAGAGGCAATAACTTGCATAAGGCCAAAAATGAGGTGACATTGGAACCATGGGCTGCTAGCTCATGGCTCCTGTTCTGATTCTGAATTGCCATGCTAGAGATCAAAGCCAACAGTTGTGGGGAAACCAAGTGAGAAAAAAGGACAGAGGCTGCGTCTAAATCCTTTGTCCAGGACAGCAAAGTATAAGACTGCCATCTTCCAAAATCCATAAAGAGTTATTGACTGATTGACTGTATTTCTAGTCCACACTTTTCACTAAGGAGCCCAGGGTAGCATAGAACATGGTCAAAAGGATAATCAACTAGCAGTCTCGTACCAAGCATTGCTTAGGAATTCTAAGCAACCAAAAAAGCAGTGCAATTTTGAAAGGTTCTATATGCTGTCTTTTGATTCCAAATGGTGTCCAGTTGTATCCAAACATAGCTGAAAACCTGCTACTTGATCTCATAAACCGAAATGCAAAATTTGGTTATGATAGCTTCAGAGGTGTCTGAAAGCATAGTAAATGGACAAACCGCTTTCCAAAATATAGGTTTACAGGTAGATTATTATATAAACCAATACAAACATTTTAAAACAAACTAATATCAGCTAAAATCAATTTCTAGTATTGAGGAGTGCCAAGACATCAAACCCTCAACCACGCTGCTGTAAAGGCCTTGACAAACAAGTGCATCTTCAATTGATGTCAAAAATTCAGGTAGGTAGCCCTGTTGGTCTGACGCAGTCGAAATAAAAATAAATTAAAAATTGTCCAGTAGCACCTTGTAGACCAACTAAGTTTGTTCTGGTTTAAGCTCTTGTGTGCATGCACACTTCTTCAGATACACTGAAGCAGAACTCACCAGACCCTTCTACATAGTGGGAGGGTGGGGTGGGGTATTTCTCAGAAGGGTAGTAGGAGATGGGTGATTGGCTCAATATGTATGGTAAACAGTAGCTTCTTGAAGAAAGTGTGGCATAGTTTCTTTGCATATTCAGTGGGATAAGTGGATTGTAGAGGATTCTTAATTCTAAGACCCATTTACCATACCCATTGAGCCAATCACACACGAAGGCACATGAAAGCTTATATGCAGAACAAACTTAGTTGGTCTATAAGGTGCTACTAGACTTTTTAT